ACTGTATAAATTGCCTGATTACAGGATACAGAACACTTCTAAATAGGCCTCAGATGATTAGGAGAGGGGAAAGAAATTAAAAAGGTCCTTTAGGTATGCAAATGGATTGCCGAACAATAGACAAAGATATGAAAGACCATGATAAAACATACCCTATTTTCTTTTACCTTAAATGATGTACTAGGCAAGTAGCAAGCTTCATTACGTGTGTTAGCTGAGATGTGAATTGTTTCATAATTGAAACAATGCTGTGCCAGATAGTGCATGTTAGATTTCAAGATAAAGTACCAGGTTTTGTGTCCTCAAGCAGTCTGGGGTTTGCTGCCTAAATCTTAGTCTTAGGAATGGTTACATTCTGACCTTGATTTAATTTAACTCTTCCTACTTTAGCTTCTTTTGAGTTACCTCTTCAAACAGAAAGGACTAAATTTGCTTTTGTCCCACTAGATCCCCCTCTGAAGTCACAGTAAGGTGTCTGCCTCCCCTGAACAGGCAGTGCTGGTATTTTCCTGCCTGTTTGAAGGTAGCTGGGTGTGTTCAGACAGCTCAGTGAACAGCAGGAGCCATCTCCAGTCTGCCACACCCTTACACAAATCTTCACTCCCTCTTTCCCATACCCTTACACACATACACATCTGTGTGGGACAAGCATCTGCTGTTTCCTGGGAGCCTGAATACTTGGGGAGATAAAAATTTAAGTTTCCTGGTACTAAAGTAACTCAAATGTCTTAGCAGTCAACAGCAGCTCCAAGGGAACTGAAAGGTGAGAGGTGATAGATAATATTGCCTTTAAGTATTGCTCTCCCATGACACTCAGGGCTCCTTGGAGTTTAAGTGACTACGGAAATTGGTCAGAAGTGGGTGCTTAACAGCAACAGCCCTTTGAAAAATTACACCCCCATACCTCCAGTATACAGTCATGAGGAGCTCAACACATAAGAACCAAAGATATTTTGGTGTGTCTCTCAAAGAAAAAATCAAAATCAAGATTTAGAAATTAATCAAGTCTACATATTTTAGATATTTATTTTGGTTTTCATAAGATAAGTGATCAAACAAGGAATTTAAAATAGTCTCCATATGTGCACTCTGTCTGTAAGGTCCAGTCCGCCCTACTTTCTCTGTCCAGTCTTTCCCCAGAGGAAAAAATCTTATCTGCAGGTGCACCTTACATGTAGAACCCAATCCTCTAAACCAAGTGTTGAGTCTAGGCCTGCCCTTACTCCCATTTGGAATCTGTTAATCATTATTATATCTTCCTCTGCTTAGGTTAGGCCATCAGGTCAGCCTTCAGCTCCTTGCAGTGGGCAGTTCTTCTCTCAGATGCAAGACAGAAAGGAGTGGAGAGGGGGAGGGTAAGGAGAATTTTATGATACAGTCATCTGGGGCTTGCAAGAGCTGTAAATTGGGATTTAGAGTGATATCAGTATTCTTTCATTTATTTCACCAAGTAACAAGGGAAACAGCACTTTGAATGTAGTACTAATGAATTAATAATGCACTCATTTGAAAGCTGGAGTTGAGACTCGGAAATATATCCAGTATTTTTAGTGGGCCTGAAATTCCATTAATGTACCAGCTCCCTGCCATGCAGGGAGATGCCCTTGATGCCAGTGTGGCCCTGCCACCTGCCCCAGCCACAGGGAGGCAAGCCCAGCTGTTCCTCCCACATTTTTGTTGGCAATTCCTGCACTCTCTGGCCATCGTTGAACTTTTCAACCTAAGGGATTTGATAAAAAGAGAATGTTAGGTTAAAATTTGTTTGAATCTGTGTTTTCTTTTTGTAGGTACACAGTTTGTGGTAATTGTGAGTGGGTCTGGGCTGAGCCTCATCCCCAGTGGGTGCAGCTGTGAGCAGCAGGTGAGCAGCACTGACAGCAATGAGCCATGGAGTGCCCAGGGGCACTGAGCAATCCCAAAGGGAGCAGAGGGCACACAGGGGCATGAGGAGTATAAAAGGTTGGGCTAAAGAACAAGAAGGACAAATGCTTGCAGCCTTCTGATGTTATCTGGTGTTACTCTGTTTGGGGGAATGCTTAAAGCTTTCTGAAATTGTGTGATGATGCTCTTGTATTGTGGCCATCTCGACTGTGGCATTTGCTGCAACACCTTTTATTTTGTATCCACGCTTGCCTCAGGCTCAGGTTTGGTTGTATCCTGTGAGGTCCTTTGCCTGCTGGAGCAAAGCACAGTGAGGGATCAGCAGTCCCTCTAGGGAAGCTCTGAACACTTTCAGTGCCCTGTGGCCCTGTCCTTGTGCTGTTTGATGAACTTTGCACGCATAGCTGTGGTCCATTTGGTTGTCAACCAACAGTCACTGCAGTACTGTGTAAAGTTTCTGGATTGGCTGAAACACTATATGGTCTTCTAAGCATCCAAGACGATCAAGGAGCAAAGCACTTAAGATTTTTCTGTCCTAATAATTTCTCCTTACTTCATTCTGCCCATGTTCCTTTGCAGTTCTTTCCAAGCAATCATCCTGGGATTTTATAGACCTGCTTACAACCATCCCTTGGATGTTGTGTTTCTCAATTGGTTCAATTACAGCATGAACAAGCTATAATTTATTGCATTGTGCACCTCCAAATATATCGTTGCTGACGATTTTTCCTAATAATTTGAAAATGGTAAAAATCTGTCATGTGCATCTTTTCTGTCTTCAATACAACTAGCTAACAGAATATGGAAAGATCTAGAAACTGTGATGAATATTTCTGTTATTTTGGAGGAGGGGTCCATTCCACAAATAGAAGTTTGTGGAATTTTCCCTCCCCGCTTCTGTTGATTATAAATTCTCAATAGGTATCTGAGATCAGGTCACAATGGGATGAAATCTGTGAAAGATTATTGATTTCTTTAAGAAATGAGGAAATTTGTAAGCCATGGCATGCACTTTAATATTGGTCCTGTCTGGCAGATCAGCTGCTTGGATCAGTGGTTTATGAATGCAGTAATTTCAGGATCCCTATCATCATTCAGACATGAAAAATTATTTTTAAATGGATGTGTAATAGACTTAATTTTTATAAAATGAATATTTGCAGTTAGCATCAACAAATACATTTCATTTCATTTGATGTTTGTGTTTTTCCTTGTTCCTAACTATTAGATAGATGAAAAGCTTTGAATCCAGCTTGAAATATGGTATTATATATCCTACGTTAGGTATCTTTGGAATAGCATGTGTGGGTGTTTATGACAGTTTTGAAGATTGATGATTGACAGTCACTCCCATAAAAAGTAGTAATATGAAGAATCACTCATTTCAAGAATGCTGAGAACATTCCTTACTTTGATATTTTTCCTTCTTTTCTGAAACCTGAAAAATAGTTTTATTTTTTAAGAGTAGGAAAATATGAACAAAAAGACACTTCATCAGGCTAATCTGCTATTTTTTTAATTTTACTGCCTGATCTAAAAAATGTTCTTCCTCCTAATGTCATACAGAGTCCTTTTCTAAGTCTTGTTTATTGTAAGCTCAATACTACATGATCCCTTCTACTCCACAAAACCTCAGGAAGGCAAAACAAGAAAACCAACATAAGGGAAAGGTGATTTTGTAAAGCAATCCTCTCCACAGTGAATGTGAAACCCAGCAGAAAATAATGTCCTCAGAAGGGAAAATGTCCTCAGATGTCCTCAATAGCTTTGGCTTCTTGCTGCACTTCACCAGTCTTGGGGTAAATGCCACAGAGTTTTTGGACTCTGAGGAAGCCCCACACCAGAGCAGCTGCCTGAACAGCCACATCCTGTGGAGTGCAGCATCTCCTGGGGCAAAGCTCAGCCCTGCAGGATCCTCTTCTCCCCTTTTGGGGTGACACAGACCCCTGAGTCTAGTCTGTCATTATATGTGCTGATATATATTGTGGTCATACTGCTTAAGATTATTGAAATCTTAAAATGCTTTTGCATTTATTAAATTTTTAGGTTTGTGGCAGCAATTCCCCTTCCCTCCCCACCACAGATTTTGTTGTTTTTCAGGTATCAGATTGTAGTAACAAGGGGAGCATATTAAGGATCAAAGCAAAGCCTGAGGATGATAGGTGCATAAAAATACCTTTGTTATCCATTGCAGGACTTTTACAGGTAACATAAGTTTTATCATGTTTAAATTTCAGTCTCTCTAATGTTTAGACTGTTTTTTGGTTTATCCTCAAGTTTCCAGTGGATTCAACTGGCTTTGATACAAAACAGTAAAAAATTTTTTCTTGTCTATTTCTGGTTATTTCTTCATTATAGACTTTCTTTTATCTAGTCATATAACCCAAAATTATATAACTAAAAAAATGAAAACCATGTAGCTTATAAAAAAATGCTGAATTATGTGCTTTAATTTATATAAAATAAATTCCTTTCTCATGAGATTTTTTGTGAAGATGTAGATCTTGTCCAATGGTGTTTAATTAAATTGCATCCTATGTTGATGGTACTCACATGGCCCTTGAGGAGCATTGGCTTGTGATGCTACAGAGGGCTTGGAGGGAGGGACATTTTTTGAATTTCCATTTTGTGAATATGGGGGTGAAAGACACTGATCTGCAGAGTGCTCCTGTTCAGAATTCTGACAAATTAGATATTTAGCTGGTGCAAATAAATATAGTTCCTTCATGCTTCCTTACAACAGCTTAGCTTGTAACATATCAGATTTAAAAAAAGGAAACAAGTCCGATTCCAGGGCTTGAAAACTATTCTTTTCATGAGTGAATCATATGTTTTTAAAAAGTACAGAATATCTAAAGATATATAGATATACTTCTATAAAGAGATAGAAGAGTGTACCTCTTTTATAGAAGTGTGTAATAGAAATGTAGAACTTCAAGCTCTGCTTTTGCCCTGCTGAAACTGCAATTCCTATTCAGCCTCTAAGAGCCGGACTAGAACCTTCACCTTCCTCAGAAAATGCTTTATTTAATACCTGATGAAAAAAAGAGGATCTCTAGGATCACAAAAATAAATTGTCAGCATAAAACCAGTGAAGATATTTGCTTGTTGTCTTACAGGACAGATGGCTTCTCAAATTCTGCATCCAGGCAGATAAGCAAAAGGTAAGATCCCCATTGTGCACATGTGTCTCTCAGCCTAATCTTTTCCTGATTAAAACAGGGGGAATGATAGCACTGCAAATAATATGTTTTTAAGGCTTTCTAAGTCCTATTTCTCAATTGACTTGGACATACATAGCAACTGCTAATTAGGGGGAAATTCTGTGTAGGGCTCCTCATGTTACACAGCTCACAAATAATGATTAGGCTCTGCAGAAATGAAATGTTTCTACTCATTTTGTGATGAAGCAATTGTGCATCTTGCAGTCTGAAACCCTTTATGCTTACTATGTGCAGTAAAAAGCATTTTATATTTGTAGGTCGCAGGTACTTTAGAACACATTTTGTGAACAGGAGCAAAATGTCACCATTTTTGCTAGCTCCTGGGTGATAGTTCTGTGTGTTTTAATAGGAAAAATGTGGTAATGTGTTGAAAGATTGATAAATAACTTGTGAAAAAACTTAGTTACTGAATAGCCTGTTGTCCTCCCATCATAGTAAGACTTCATCATAGTATGAATCACTCAGCAGGCCTCAAACAACATCTCTCAGGTAGCATATACCTTTACATTTCAGAAGAGTGACAAACATGGTATTTTACAGTACTGTGCATGACTGATGATGCAGGAGTAAGTAGGAGTAGGAAGTACACTGGAGTTATAAAGATGTTTTAAGTGAAACCTCAAAAGCAATCAGTTAGTGAATTTTATTTTCTGATTGTTTTGTGTTTGAGAAAGTAGGAGCAAAAGCCAGGCATCATTTCAGTCTTCATGACTGGACTTTCCTTGCATGCATTACACAAGGACACAAATTATTTTTGTTTCTGTCTTTGAAAACTAGGGACTTAGGTTTATCTCGGTCATCTGCATACATTTTTATAAACCAATGCCAGTGTAAAGTTTCCTTCTGGAAAGAGTGTTCACTGGTAAAGTTCAACTCTGCAACTCTTCCCATCAGCCTCTGTGATATGATTGTGACTTTAGTGACATAAGATACACAAAAGCTGGTGGGGAAAAGAAAACCTTAGATAAAGTTTCTCTATTTCTCATGTAGCACAACTGATTGAGGAGACTGTTGCCAACCTCACATCTGCCACCAGCATTTTATAAAAGCTTTTGAACCCAGATCAGTTTACAACAAACTTTAAAGTATGACTTCATAAACAGTTCCAGAATGAAATAAATTGCAGCAGGAGATGGGAGCAGTGTCCCAGTGCAGGAGACTTCCTTTTAGGAGGTTGAGCTAAGATGGGCTCCCACTCATTCTGTTGGTTACTTCCACTGCCAGCAGAAACAGAGGAAGGATGCTGGAGCTGTTTCTGCAGTGTTGGATCATGGGCTGGTGCATAAGAGCACCTACCTGCAGGCTGAACATGGGTTCTCTCATGCACATTGATCTTTAGTTGATCTGCTAGACAACCACGAGTGTCCATGCATACCAATCCTACCTATGTTAGGAACAGTTATGTGTTTGGTAATAAACATAAAATTATATTTCTGTATTCAAATAGATGATCACATACTGGCAAGGAGGGAGACAAGGAAATTGTCAAGGACAAGACATTGACACTAGGAAATTTTGCCAGGCACATTGTTTTAATACTGATCATTTCACATGCTCATGTGAAATGTCTCAGTCCAGTTCTAAGAGAGGCATATTCAAATGTTCCCAGCTTAATTTTTCAGGCTGTATTACAGGACAAGATAGATTTAGCATTCTTTGAAACAGGAATTTTCCTAAAGTAAGCTTTAGGACTTTGCATGTACTCTAACTAAAATTGGTTTGAAATCTGATCAGAAATGAAGCCTGTTGTTGATGCAGTTCTAGTATCTATTTTCTCTAGAGGTGGAGGGAACTGTGAAGGTTCCCTGACTTTACTGTGTTTCCACAGATTTTTGTGAGGCCACTTCTGTAGATTTCAGCACAGAAGAGGATTAACTGCAGCACAGGAATAGAAATGAACAGTCAGTGTTTAAAGAAAATACAAGAACTTCTATGCCTTACTGTCAGAGAAAAATGTCAGGTAATTACACCTTGAACAATGCCAAGATTGCATTTCAGTGATGATTAAGACAACAGATATCTTTGAATTTGTTTCTCAACTGTCTCTTGCCTGTAAGGGAGTGAGTTTATTGTCAGGTTCACTAATTACTTTAAACAGCCTTTATGCTGTTTTATAGATCAGCTATAACTGCAGGAAAACTGGGACCTTAACCAGTGCAGCTGTTGGGGCCTGGGCTTCAGCAAAATCACTCATTGACACAGTGCTATCAATGCACAGTGTGCCTGTAGCAAGAAACTGTTCTTTGAGTGGTTAAAGCCTTTTGTTTTGCAGTGAAGAGTGGGGTTTGAGGTTTTTGATAAAAAGCATCCAGTTTTGGTTTTTTGATAAAAAGCATCCAGTTCAAGTGTGTACCTCATACATTAACAGTGTCTGAGCTAGACCATCTTATGACTATGCAGAGATGTTTCCCCCCCCCCCCCCCCAAATTCTAGAGTCTTCCAGAAGTCAGGAAGTACAATTGTTATCTACTAATGGCATTTATAATCACTCTTTTGAAAAAAATTGATCAAACAAAACATTTTTCCTTTCTTCTAGCTGGAAAGGTCTGGCATTAGCATGAGTAAGTAACACTCACAAGTTAGACCAAAGGGTTTCTTAGGAATTGTCCTTTTCTCATTCATATATCTGTACATATGCACTGTTGTACCTTGGCTTTCAAGCATCATGTGTTTGTTTAAAAGAAAAGGACACACACCTTGAAAATCTGTTGTCAAACAAAGTGCTTGAATTCCAGCTGAGCAGGACTCCCAAAAGAGCAATCCTTGCCAGTTTGTATTATGGAAAAGCCTAATTCTGACGCACTGTTCTGTGTAGCCTTTTCCACACACTGAAGCAGCCTGAATTAATTCTCATGTTAAAGTCAATCAGCTTGGGAGTTTTCCTGAAGGCAGGTGTTTCAAAGTGCATGCAGTTTTAATGAAAAATGAAGATAGCTGTTTTCAAGCATGTAGACCTAGAAAGATAATTTCCCAGAGGCTGCTGTACATATACTAATGCATTAACAGTTAAAAAAGTAAGAGTCTCTCCAGTGTCAAGCATGTCTGCTAAACCAGCTTGACAAAGGCAAGAAGCTTGTCTCTGATCAACTCTCTTTTCCCCTTTGTCTGATGCTGTCATGCAGGCTCAACACTAAAATATTGTACTTTGTGGGGTTGTTGTGACACCGTTTGTAATTTTGGTGTTATCTAGTTACTCCTTGACTCTGTGCTCACTGAGTGTTGTTTCTCATTGTGACGGATTTGGTCTTCTTCATTAAGAAATTAGGAAAGGACTTTAGTGCTTTATGCTAAGCATAAAACAAGGAATTTTCAAATCTTAGGAACTTGGTGTGCATGGTTCACTAACACTGTATTAGTATCTGCATTGTGCTTGTTTAGCTGAGAGAGTAATGAGGGAATGTTTGAGAGAGGTAAGATTCTATGGGGACAGACTGTCCTTAGATATTGTTTATATTTATTTAGTTAATAAACTCACATAATAAAACAGTTTCTGTCTACATAAACTGTTTTCAGAAATTACTTTAAGAATATCCATGTAAGGTGAGTTTGGGTGTAGATGGGGACAAATCAGTATCTCAAGCATGCCATGTATATTCTAAGATTAATAGGAAAATCTTTCGGTGTGGTCCGATTGCATCATCGATGCACCCTGCCTATTGAGGCAACTTGCTTTTGCAGCTGTTTGATATAAATTCCTCGCATATGTCTTAGTCCCCTTGGTTTATTTTTATAAACAATAAATAGCCCAACATTCCTGCAGTGTTTCCCTTCCCTCGGACAATCCCATTTGCCATTTGCCATGAAGACGGTGGCTGAGATTAGTGCCGTTTGCACAGATGGCGGCCATCGTTTGGGAAATCTCATAAATGGTGGAACACGTGGACTTTTTCCTCCCCTTCAACATGATCACAATAGATTATGAGGGCCTACAAATCACTACCAGATGATATTAAGTTGCTTTGATAACACTCTGGGTCCCTTCCGGTGTGATATTTTTCTTCATTAGAAAGGATAGCTCAAGCACACCAAATCCTCTTACTCTTTTCTCAAAATTTATAGATCTCAGTCTCTAAACTAATTGTTAGTTGCACAGCATGCCTTAAGCTGTGCCCAGACAGAGCAATTACATCCCCCAGCCCTGATTAAAGGCACAGAGGAAACAGAAGTGCAAAGAAAATGAAACACTCTTGGCTGTTTGGGCAGGATGTCATTGCTGTTGTTTGCCTTTTTTGACATTTGTTGATAAAAGTGAGAAAGGAGGTCAGTTATCCATCACTGACCCTTGTTCAGTGCCAAAGATGTGACAGGCTTGTCTCAGGCTACTGACTCCGTTTATGAAATTATAAACAAAAAGGAGTTTCTAGGGCAATATGCTTCTTTTCTATTAGCAGCTCAAGAATTTCTTCATTTTCCCTTTGCTAAATTATGTGTCTTTTAAACTCATTTGCTTCTGTGCGTCTGCCTAAAACTACAAACATAGTTTGATCATGAATGAGCAGGGCTGTACAATCATAAAAGCTCTACAAATTACCTTGAACAAGGAAAAACTCATATTCAAATATTTTTGCATATTCAAGCATTTCTTATAAAATGTTTCACACCTGTAAAGTGCAGCCTTACAAAGTTGTGTTTTCCTGTTGTGATTTACAGTAGCTTTATGGCTGACAGTGTGCTTTAACAGTCAAAGTCAAGATTTTCAAAGGAAAATGGGAAAACACTATTTGCTTTCACCCAAAATCTGAGTTAATTATGTCCAAGTTTGTAAATATGAAGTAGAAGTACATGTTTTTAAAGTACTAAAGTGGCTTAAAAATCATATACAAGCATCTAAAAATCAGATGGAAGACAGCAGCAATTTTCTTGCATTAAATCTAAGCTTGTGTTTTCAGTGACGTCTCTGCTAATGTTTTCAGTCTGCTGGGAGT